GTGATGTAAAATACAGCAGGAAGCAACTCCAGGAAGAACCCAAGCTCAGAGAAAGGAAAGCAGAGATCCTTTACTTTACAGGTGACTTTGTCAGGGCACAGGGATCTGCTTGAGGTTGGACCAACACCCAAATGACCTGAGGCTTCTGGGTGGGAGTTGGAGGGCCCCCAGGTTGGCTCTGAGCTCCCAATGGGGTCTTCAAGAAGCAGCATTTGGCTGCTGCTGGGCCACTCTTGGGAGGAGAACAGGGAAGGGATGAGACAGAGCCAGGGCAGCAAGTCAAGGACAGTGAGGATGGAGCAGCCAGGAGAAGGTGGGAACAGAGCTTGCTGCACCCTCCTGCGCCCTCTGTGCCATGGGCCCAGCACCCTTCATCCTTACCATCACCTATAGCCTTGGGGGAACCCAAACGGATACCCTGGAGCTGAGCTCACCCAGGCCACGAGAGGTTGGGAATGGGGGACTGGATTTGGCAGCCTGGATGCTTCTCCACTTGAGAGGCTTTGAAAGGGAATGTATTTTTGGAGCATTCAAGATCAACTGTTTCTGACTCCGGCCAATCCCTTTCAAGAGCAGCACCAAAGGAGGTCAGTGGGATGCGGCTGGTCAAATATTTTGTACATGACCATCATCTCTCACCCCCTCAAGTATTTACAGACCTGAGAGCATTTCCTGCTGTTCCCCCCCGTTGAGTATCTGGTATCTCTGCTTGCTCCAGCAGGACAGTGCAGTGCGTCCCAGAGCACGGTGAGGCCTTGAAGGACCACCCCGGCACTGCCCTTGGGTGCAGAAAACAAAACTAAATCAGCACAATGTGTTTAGTCACACAAACAGCAGAGGGTTTACCCAGCCAGCAGTGAAACACAGCCATGATAATGAGAACAAATCTGTGGGGGTGGGGGTGGTGGGGAGATGGGGTGGAAAGAGGGAGGTTTATTCTCCAGGGGTTTTTTTGTAATCTTCACTCACCATATTTAGTAGGCTTGTGACTTGCCCTTGCTAGATCATGGAGAATTCCCCCAAGTGTTTACTCCCACAACCTAGCAAATGCCTCAATACACATCATGGAAAAAATACAATCGACATCTTCACTCCCACTAGAGAAGGAATTCCGACTTGCCCAGCACAGACTGGGAGTATGAGCCTGTGAGAGAGACAAATACTGCTTCATTAGCTCCCCTCAGATGTGGTTTACTCCTCAAATGACCTGGTCAGGGCTGCACCACCTCCCTCCCTTCCTTCACCTAAGGAACCTCTGACCTTTGGTCAGAGCAGTGGGGACAGGAATGTGGGTCCTTTAACCCTTTCCTCCAACATCCGCCAGCTGCTCTCCATGCGGTTCACAAAGCTGATGGTCCTGGGATTTTCAGAGATCCAGAGATGCTGTGAAGGGCAGGACCAGAGCTCTGCAAAACAGCTTTCTTCCTGCTGTACCCAGGGAGGCGCAGGATTTGGTGATGGAGAGCTGTGTCTACCATGTACAGAACATGGAAACAAAAGGGGAATTTCTGTGAGCAGAGCTCACAGGTCACAGATTGCTCAGGATTACTTTGGCACCCCTATTTCAGAGCACAAAACTTTAGTAGAAAAAACCCCAATAATTAGGCCATTTGGATTTTGTCAATGTGTTCCCAAACTGCCCACATGAAAAGTGCACATGGGAAATCATTTTAATTTATCAAATGTAGAATCTCCTACAACTGCAATGACTATAGGTAGAGTAGAGCTGGAGAGAGGAGTTGGAATGAGAATGCTTCAGTGTTACTGACGATTTGGCATTTCTGGACAGGAATTTCTTTGCCCATATTGGCCGGGGAAGTGGTAAAATCACCATTCCTGGAAGTGTTCAAATAACGTGTGGATGTGGTGCTCAGGGACACAGTTTAGTGGCGGGTTTGGTAGAGCTGGGGTTGATGGTTTGACTTGATGATCTTGGAGGTCTTTTCCAACCTAAATAATCCCATGATTTTGCAAATGGGACACACAGCACACAGCCAGCTCTCCTCTGCTGCTGCTCCCTGGTCTGTTCCCACCTTACCCTGGCACAGGGGACAGTGGGAGGATGGTGCTGACTCATTCACACCAGTGAGGTCTCGGAGATTGTGCAGGGAGCAATCACAGAGGCACAAGGACACCAAAAATGCAGTGGAATTCCACAACACGTGTGCAAGTCCATGTGTGCAAATTTACACAGGCAGTGACCATGATTAGGCACAGAGCATTGGCACGTGGTGTCAGTGCAGCTGTGACAGTGATCTGAGAGCTCTCATGATCTTTGTAGAGCAAAAGGAACCCCAGAGCGATTCCAATCACTCTTGTGCTACAGGAATATGACTTTTACCTGTTTTCCCAGTGGCTAAAACCCATCAGTGGTGTGATATCACCAGTCTCTGCCTGGGTGAAACCTGTGGTATGGTGGCGTGCGAGAGATGTGGACTCGAGCTGGAAACACACGGTCTGCAACCCCTGACATTTCTCCAAGGAGGTGCATCGTTACACCCTTAATGTCTCCTTTGTACATCTTGCTTATGGTGCTTTGCACACCAAAAATCATATTAAATACTCTGATTTTTCCTCCAGCTCCTCTTTTTTCCTATTCTCTTTTTTTTTTTTCCATGCACGTCCTTTCCTTCTTCATGAGGGGAAAGCACCTCTCTTCCCAGGGCAGGCTGAGCTATTGCAGTATTTGCCTAAAATACAATACAAACTTCTAATTAAAGGAGGAAGGGGATTGGCAAAAGAATATTAAAGCTTTTCAAGTCTCCTGAAATCCTTTGTGTGGAACAGCTCTGGGAAACGGGGCCTGCTGCCACCCTCCCCCTCTTGGGAGCATTCCCCAGGGCAGTGCCCGGGCAGCAGCTGCCGCTGCTCCGGGGGAGTCAGCCCAGCCTGACACACAAATAAATACCACAGGAGGAAATGCTTTCTTCCAGCAAAGACCTGGGGAAGAAACCCTGGATATGAGGAGAGGAAGGGAATGTACATGCTTTGCACCTAAAGAGCTTTGGGAAGCTCGGTCTCAAACACAGAGGAGTGAGGAAAGGCAGGAATGCTTATATATGCAACCAGGTATGACACATATGTCATGCAAAATAGACAGATTTGCATAAAGATACACCTCCATTTTCAATCAGCCCCTCCAACCGTCACATTTCAGCCTAAAAAAAGGGCAGACTTAAAGCACGGAAGGATTTAATACCTGAAGGTGTGGAGGGGGACAGATTCACATGAAAACCAGCTGGAGCATTTAGGGTGGAAAAGGGATTTTGGCTCTTTAGTCCTGATGCTCCTCACCCACGGGTGACAGAGGCTGGAAAATTTGTGTACAAGGTGAACACACAGGACTGTGTGTGCAGAGAGAGCAGGTGGCAGCAGGAACACCCGCCCAGTGCCAATCCTGCGTTGCTCAAGTCTAAGAAATTGTGTCCTTCGTTGCATTAACAACTTCTGCAAAGTCTTCATTTGCATTTTAATGGAACTCTTTCTAGGAAGGTGCTGCCTGGACTCTGTTGCAGTGTAAAATGAAGAGGTAATTAAAAACATGCTGAAGTTAAACGGCATTTTGTTTTCATTAATCGGGTTTATTCATGATCTTTTCAAAATTAAAGGTATTTAGGGTACGTGGGAGGAAACGGGGGGGGGGGAAGGAAAACACATGATGGAACATCCGTTTATTTAAATTACAGATTAAAAAGTGAAAAATACACTTTCTGTGAGGGGACATCCTGGAGATTAAAAGCACCTTGCAGGAATGGATTTGAATAAAGAGTAGGTATAGGAGTCAAGACAAAGGTTCCAACAGCAGGTCTGCCTGCTTGAAAGCCAGAGATGAAGGAAACATATAGGACGAGGGAAAGGAAACCACGGAGGAAATTTTTAAACCTTCGTCACGCAATTACCCGGGGCAAATGACTGTGATTACACACCTAAGCCAGTTATCTATGCAAGCGGCCAGCCCCGGCTGGCCGGACACGTATTTCCCCAATTTTGGATGCAATCACAGCACGCAGATGCCGATAAACAGTTTGTAAACGTTTTATCTGCCTGGACCAGCTCCTGCTTTCACAACCCAGCGACCGCACACGAGCGATTCCCCCGCTCGCCGCAGCCAACGCGCCGACCTTCTCCGCGCTCCAGACCTATCCTGCCCTGTTAAGCTCCGTCCTTTGAAATATAGGGCAGTTTCTGTCAGATCCTTCAGCGTGGCAGTCAAAAGGGCAAAAAACCCTGCCCTTTGTCGCACCGGGAGGTTTCTCCAGCGCGGATCTCTCATCTCCATCCGCTGCGATCTCCGTCCTCCCCAGCCACCGGCCATTACGGGTCGGGGGGGGCTCCGAGCGCCGCAGGGGCAGCACTTGATGTTGTATTATTTTATATGATTTTATTTCGGGGCGGCGTTGTGTGAAATACACCTCAGCGCGTAAAAGAGGGGAAAAGTGGTTTGGTTTGGTTTGGTTTCCCCCGTGCAAGGTGCCGAGGCGGCCCCGCTCCCACACGAGCCGTTGGGGCTGAGGGGACGCGCCCCGCTGGGGGAAAGAGGGGGGGGGGGCACAGCCGGCTCTCCCGGGGTTGGGCGCACCTGCCGGCGGCAGGGGATGCCCGTGGAGCCGCAGAAGGGCCGTGGCGGGGGCAGGGCCGGGATGGGGAGCGGGATGAGGGCCGGGATGGGAAGGGGCAGCGGGAGCGCTCCCGGGGTCCCCTCGCCCCCGCCTCAACACGGCCCCCGCGCCGTCCCGGCGTGCCCCGCGCGCCGCGCGCCCCCGCCCTCCCTCACTTCCGGTGTCCGGCAGTGGCAGCGCCGCCGGCGGCGCCCCCGCTCCCCCGGCGCAAGGGGAGGGGGGCGTGGCTGCTGGGCGGGGCTCAGAGCCCCACCGCCGCCCAATCACCGCCCGCCGCTGGGCGGGAGTGGGCGGGGACAGCGCCGGCACGCGCCGCGCGGCTCCGCCCCCCCTCCCCGCTCTCTCCCCCCTCCTCCCGCCGCGGGCTCGCGCCCCGCGCGCCCGAGGGAGCGTCGGGAGCGCGCCCGGGCGCCCCCCCCACTCTTCCCCCCCTCCGCCGGGTTCTCCCCCCCCACACCACCCCCCTCCTCCGCCCTCCGCCCCCCTCTCCCCCCCTTCCCCTTCCCCTCCCCACCCGGGAGGAGAGGCACGGAGTGACCGACGGAGCCACCGCTCCGGCCGCTCCGACACCCCGCTCTCCTCCATGGGGCTCAGGTAAGCGCGTCGCCCCCCGCCCCCCGGGGCGAGCGGGGGTCGCCATGGCCGCCCCCACACCCCTACACACGGAGGGGCGGCGGGGAGCCCCCCCCGCCGCTCCCGCACCGCCGCCCCCGGTGTTATCCCCGTTATTATCCCCACTGGTTATCCCCGTTTTTTTATCCTTATCCCCGTTTCCATCCCCGTTATTCCCACCCGCCCCCTCCTTCTCCTCCTCCTCCTCCTCCCCGGTCGCGCCCTGCCCCGGCGAGGGGGGCACGGAGCCTTCTTTGGGACGCGGTGTCCTATTTGGTGTGGGTGGATGGCTTAACTTGGTAAGTGCCGGGTTTAACCCCCCTCCCCCGGCCCTCCCCTCCCCTCGCTCCTCCGCCCGCCCCCCCCTCCCTTCCCCCCCCCCCTCCCCGTAACCTCCAAAAGGGGAATTTTCCAGCTGGTAATTTCTGCTGCGTCAACACCCAGCTCAAGGGAGAGGAGAAGAGACAAGGGGGCATTTTAACAGCAGCTCCACTTGCGGATAGCCAGCCTCAATCCCGGCTCCAGCATTAAAACCCTTTCCGCCCCCTAAAAACCAGCATCCGTGCAAGTTGGACCAAGAGTTTGTCAGGAGTGTGGTTCAAAACTGCTTGGAAAAAGGGATGAGGTAATAATACTGGTGAAGCATGTTGTATTTCTCTCTTTCTGCCTGTCTCTCTTTCTCTTTCTCCCTCTCCTCTCCTCTTTTTTTTTTTTTTTTTTTTTTTTTAAGCCAGGCCTGTTTTGGGTTATTGTCTCCCCCTAAAGCCAGACATAGATCGCCTGGCCTTGCCTCCATTTTAATTGCAGGCTGAAATGGGGGAAGTGACCCTCTTCAAAAAAAAGAAATATAAAAAACCCCAACAAACAAACAAAAAAAAAAACCTTGGAAAAAAATAATACTGTTCCTTTGGGGGGATATAGGTTATTTTTTATAAGGCTGTAACAAGTGCAAAAGTGGCTGGAAATGTTTTCTGTCATGCTGGGAAACTAGTGAGGTGTCCTCTCCCCTCCCCAGAAAAAAGTGCTGGTGAAATTTGGCGGAGGGGAGAAGGAGAGGTGCTGGGAAAAGCAGGGGTTGTGCTGCTGGATTGCCTTTGTGTCTCTGTAAATAGACATGTCAGTTCCCAAAGTAATACAAGTAGTGTCTGATAACTCAATCCCAGATGACAAATAGAGAATGGAGCAGATTTTCAGGACTGTAATAGTGGGAGGATTTCTCTTTTGAAACGGAGGGGAAAAAAAATGTTGGTACCTCCTGAGGAGGTTCTTCCCCAGCGCGTTATTGTGAAGCGGAGCGTTCGGATGGAATCCGGAGATGTAAACCCGTATTTATTTGTTTTTACACCTGACCAGGGAAAGATAAACAAAGGAGAGTTTAACAGCTCTTTAATGAATTCCTCATGCTTTTTATTTTGCAATCCCAATGATTCATTTGGCAAGCCTTGCAGGACCGGATTATTATCAGCATTGTTTAAAGCCATGCTAATTAGGAGATGTGTTTAGCAAACAGTGGTATTGTAGACACCTGTACCAAAGTTCTTGCGTGGATTTTAATTGCATCACTGGTATCATTTTTAGCATTTAGTCACTGTAATACAGATCTAGGTCTCAGTTCGTGGACTCGATCAAGTGTTTATTACAAGTGTGGGTTCTCTGTGTGCACAGAGCAGCCCTGCTACTAATGCATTAAATGTGTTTTCTCAGAAAGGACAGGGAGTATTTTTTCTTTTTTTATTTTTATTTTCCTGTGGGGATTCAAAGAAAAAGCAGTGCTGACCAAGAAGAGTGGGAAAAACACAATTTTGAGGAGGAAGCTTGCTGTGACTGGATAGCTCTTTCGCTTTAATCAATACCTTGCTTGAACATTGTGTGTTTTTGTAGCCTCTTTTAATTGAAAATAAAATTTTACTTTCCCCTTCTAAACTCCATCTAGCTTCTCTCGCTGTTTGTCAAGTTTTATATTTTGAAATCCTCAGTGATGGAAAAAAATGGGTGGAGTGTATTATTAGTCACAATATTTTCAACATGCGGTGAGGAATTGCTGCTTTGAGGTGTTTTTTGGGAGCCGGCAGGGAACGGGCAGAGGAGCTGGAGGGAGAACCAGGGGACAGGATTTCAGGGGGCTCCTAAACACACATGGCTGAAGAATATTCTGTGGTTTGCTACGTTCATGGGATAACTGCAACTGAAATAGAAAACGAATCTTTTGGTTTTGATGCAGCGTGTCCAGGAGGGGGAAACTCACTCACAGCGAAACTTCTCTCGCGGTTGTTTTCATAGACTGTGTGTTCGCCCTGATGGAACTGAGTCAATTTTAGTGTGGTACCAAAAACGGGGTATTCTAGTAACTCTCTTAACGTTAAGATGTTTATTCATGTGCTTTAAATGCTGCTTCATTCTGGAGTGTGGAGGATTGAGCCTTTGAAAACATGACCTGTACTCGGGGTTCTCGGAGGCTGGAGAAAATGGGCCACTTTCTCCCCGTGGTCTTTGTTTTCTGGGACAGTTGTACAACAGTGGAAATGTTCCTCGCAAGAGGATTTTTTTTTTTTTTTTTAAATTTTAATATCTGGAAGTGCTTAGAGGAAAACCAGTTTAACAGCCCCCCCCCCCCCCCCCCCAGCAGCCCTTTCTGTCAAAAGGAAAAATGCCTCATGTTTGGAAGGTCTGTTATTTGCCTGTGTTTCCTCCGGTGATGTGTTGCTGTGAGGTTGAGCAAATTCTTTTCGTCTTTGCTATCCACTTGTGTGGATTTTTTTTTTTATTTTATTTTTTTTTTTTTGTTTTTAGATCCGTGTTTTTGAAGTTTCTAAGCAAAGTTTCCTGTCCTCCCAGCAGCTCAGAGCAGGCTGACACCCAATCCAAACTGCCACTGCCTGCTTTCAGGGCAGGAATTATTTCATAAACAGCTCAACCTTTCCCAGGACATTTTTCCCTTCGTGTTCTTGCCGGTTTTACTGGCTGCTCCAGAGAACTCTGTAACGCTCTCCAGACTCCCCCTAAATTGGTAAAAACCATTCATAGGGGTTTTCCATGCTCCTGTGTGCTCAGTTTAATGGGCAAACAGAAGGGCAGAGAGAGGGCTTAGTTTAAGTCTTTGAAGAGCTACCTGCAGTTGTAATGGTTATCCCACATGTCCCCTATAATTCCCAGGAGCCAGCGGTTTCTGTCCATTCCTGGCTGTGAGCATTACCCTGGAAAATTCTAACGCTTCGCACAGAAGGATTAATTCCCTGTTTATATTTCGAGTCTGACTCGAATATTCTGAAGTGTGGAGCTCACCTGTGTTTTCTGTGGGAGATATTTGAAACTTAAAATGTATTAATAGTTAAAGGGAGCGTGCCGTGGGCTGTCTGCAGATACCAGGGGTCACGTTAGGAGAGAGCACGAGGACTGACTGCGGCTGAGAGGCAGAGGGAGGAATTCAGTCTGTGGGAAGTCCTGTGATCCCCCTCCACGCCTAAAACATCTCCGTGAAAGGTTTTCTGATATTTGGTCAAGCACAATGGCAGTCAGGACTCCAGTGTTAAAATTTGTTGCTTCAAAACTTCACTTACTCCCTCCTGAGGGCTTTTTGTATGTTTGTGTTGCAGCCCCCTTAAATACATCCTTCAGTGGTTGGTTTTCTCACTTCCCTCTGGATCTGGATGAGAAACAAAAGCCTGTATCACTTCGTGCGGGACTTTCACTTGAGGTGCAGGAGGGGAGAATCTCAACTTCCCTAAACAGTTCAATGGTTTTCTGGTTTGTGCTGCCTTGGTGTATTTGGATGCACTAGAATGCCCAGTTTGGAGGAATGGCTTCTCCCTGGGACTCGTTCCCCATCCTGTAGCCGTTGATTGAATGTGCTGGTGTGGAACTGCTTGTTATCAGTCTCACCTCCTGTGAAACAGGGGTGCCAGGGTTTACTCAGCTCTCCCAAAACATGTTCTGTTTTATTCTTGAAAAATTGTGCTAGAAGTGCTTATTCTTCATAAAGGCAAATCAGTGTGAAGTCCTCACTGGATTCCCTCCAGGCTGTGGTGGAGTCCAGAGGCTCATGGTTGGGGTTTGACGTCCCTTACCAAGTCAGCTGTGGTGCAGTTATTTTCTGAACAGTTGCTTTAACTTTCTTTCATACCCATACATTTAGGAAACATCAGACTGCTGTTGAGACACTGGCTTGAAATAGTTTCCGAGTGCTCTGCAGGCAGGGTGAGATCCTTGACAGCCATTCTAATGAGATGGAAATGTGTCCCACTTGGCAGTGCTCAGGTTAGAGCTGAAGCTCACCTTTTTGCCTTGCTTTTTGGGGATGTGGCTGACTTCTGTTCCAGCCCACACAGTGATGATCCTGGCCTGTTGCTCACTTGGCTCGTGTACGTGTTGGGGAAGAAAAACATCCTGCAAATGCTGGAAGTTGCCCTGCATTTGCTTTATTGTAAACCTGAGTTGGGGTCTCTTGCAATGGAGGGAGGCACTGAGGCATCAGAAATACTCTACAGACACATCTACGAGCTTGTGTGTGGAATAAAATAAACCTGGTAACGAGAATGTTGGTGTGTGTCAGGACCTTACCTTGACCAAGGACCCTACTTAGAATCTGACTGAGTAGGGTTTTGCATATTAAGGAATGTGTTTGTACCTCTGTATACTGAAATACCCAGTCATCTTTCCTGATTATTTCCCCATTGTATGTTGACCAAACTGGTTATTCCATCCAAGTGAGTTTGCTTCCTGGTATTTCTCACTTCTGGAGAAGAGCTCTGCATAAAGTTGATGTTTCAGGTGGTTGGCTTGTTCTCTCTGAGGAAAGAGTTAAACAAAATTTGCACCTTTTGTGCTAATACAGCATCAGAGGAAATACCTTCCTGACTACTGCTCCGATCATGCCCTGAAACAGAAGAATCAATGGTCTGTATTAGCCATCAGTTACTTAAAATACCCAAACCCAACTGATTTAAGTGCCAATGAACGAAGTAGTCAGGGTGCAGTTGCTCCTAACAGTCCTGCCACTATAGTGTTGGAGACTGAGGTGGTGGCTAAATATAAAACCAGCTTTTTGACTTCCTCCTTGTTACCACTGTGTCCTTCTTGGCTTCACTCCACTTCTTTTTTTTTTTCTTTTTTTTTTAATAGTAGTTTATCAAATCTGGATTATGAGATTTGTGCTAAAAAGTAAAACAGGATCCTTACCCAAGGCCCTGAGGGCTTGTACCACAAATTACACAAGCAGGAGTGGGTTGTTCTCAAAGCACTTCATATGTTATCTTTGGGTTTGCACTGGTTGACTTTTTTTTACTCTTAGATTATTCGTGACTCCTTTTGTGTCTCTTAGGTGATCTTTCAGTTCCTCCTGCTGCTTTACTTCTCTTTAAAAATCACCTCATGATTCTTTCTCCTTTGGCTCCCTCTGTTTTTACGTACTGAGTTTGGGAACTTTGGCAAAGATCCCCTAATTAAAAAGCCAAAAACCAATGAGAAAGTTTAGGGGAAACCATTCTTCAGGGCAATTCCCAGTGTGATAGGTTTAGAGTTCTCTAAACCTTTTTTTTTTTTTAAGGTCCTTTTTATCTTGTTTTTTGACTAGTAGATGCACAAGGGCAGAGTCTTTTGCTTAGATTTCTTTTGTGACCTTAAAGTAGAAGCTTAGGATCTTTAGGAGTTAATGGCACTTGGACAGGTAAGTGTCATGTGAGCCACAGACACTGAGATTTTTTTCAGATTGTTTTTTAATCTTTACTGTTAGAGTAGAAGATATATCTGTAGCTAGATTCTTATTTTTTTTTTTATTTTACCAGACTTCTCAAACCTGGTTCCCTGTTAGGCACTTGCTTTTTAAGCCCTGGGTAGCCTTGCCATGTTCCTTTTGTGTTCTGCAAAGTCTGTGGCGTGGGTAGTGTTGGATCTGTCCTTCTCTTGGTGCAACGAGATGAGAGAGAATGGACATCAAAAATAGGGGAATGATTTGAGCAAGTGTTGCTGTGCTGTGATGGAGAGGGGATGGACAGACAGGCACGTGGACAGAGGTGGAAGTTATGGAGAAATAAGGGGAATGCAAAGTGCAGTGAAAATATTACTGCAAGCAAGCAGTTGGAACTAGAAGCACACACCTGTGCCCTGTGGGAAAGGTGAATCCTGTCATATTAGCAAGTTGTTACCCATAGGAATATTGTATTTCAGGCTGCACAGCTTTTACAGGCATGGAAAATAAAACTTCCTTCTGCATTCTGTTAGGTATTTGCATCTTTGAGGGTTTTCTTCTTTCAAAGCTTGTACATGTTTGTAAGAGGAGCAAAGTGCTCTCCTTGCTACCTTTGTGGATGCTCTGTAACATGCAGGTCATGCTGGCCTTTGAATACTGTGGTTCAGTAGAGTTGGTTGGGAATAAAACTCAAATCTCTTACTTTTGTATGTGGGCACATGGTTTTTCTGTAACCTTAGGCAAATATTTTGGTTTGGAGGGGAATCACTGTAACCATGAGGTGAGATTAATACTAACCCCCTTTCAAGTGTGTGGGTGGCAGGGGTCACAGAAACATTAACTGAAACTTTGATGTCATCTGAGACAATGTTAAAATGGTTTGAAATCATTACATAAAGTACCGTTTTTTTAGAGTGACTTTTTCAAAGCACTTCTGTCCGGAAGCATAGGCAGAAGTTGTTAATAATCTTCAAATTGATGTGTTAAACTCTTTAAGTTAACACAAGGGCTAAATCATTTTCCCTGTATGCTTCATTATAGAAATACATCAGAATATTTCTTGTTGAAATGGCAAACAGTGTTGTAAATGGGCAGTTATTTTAACTGTTGCTCGTAATTATGTGACACTCGAGGGCTTTGTATTGAGTTAAAGTTCAGATTCTAATTTTTGCCTCCTATTCTTTCCATTCCCAAACACAGGACATCTGATGAACCTTTTGGAGCTTGTTACCAGAGACCATTCTCCTCTCTTCATTGAATCATGCACTGCCCAGCTGTGAAACATCGCAACATTTATTTTTGCTAACAGGAAACACTTTTAAATATCGGTAAGTTCTCAGCATTTAAAGATATTTTTGTCGTGTGGTGTGGGAAAGAGAAAGAGGAGCTGGAGATAACATTGTCGTGGGGGCTGACAGTTCTTTCTAAAGCTTGACTTTACATTCATAACAAGGGGTCATTTAGAAATCTTAACCAGCTGCAAAAGTTGGAAGAAACACCTCTGGCTGTTCTTCTGCTCCTTCCCTGTGGCAGAGGTGCCTCCATTAATCGTGGTCACTCGGTTCTCATCTGTTTGATCAGAAGAGGAAAACAGGTGCAGAGCTCAAAGCAAGGAGAAAAACTGCAGAGCAGTTCAGAATAGTGTAGGCTCAGCTTTGCCATTCTTGCCAGTCTGTTCTGGCTCCCCTTGTGCCCTGGGACAGAGGTGTAAATGAGAGTTTTAACAGTAACAGCCCTAAGTCCGAGTGAAAATACGTATTCCTGTTACCCTGTGCTAACAGAGTAATTTCCCAAGTGTCTGGGTTGGTCTGGCTCCCTCACTGCCCCACTTTATTTTTCTTAACTGTCTAAATAACAGGACTAAAAAGAGCTGGCCAAAACAATTGCTATGGAGAAGCAATCAGAATTAGAGAGAGGCAAGACTTGGCCGTCTGAAATAGAAATTGAGAACAAAGTCACTGGTGTTTGCTTCAATTGGGTCATATTTGTTTTCAGGATTTTCGGTTCTGTTTGCCATAAGAATGCTTGGATTTTCCTTATTGCTTCATTTGTTCATTAGATATTTTATTTCACCTTCTATAATGACATTAGTTTGTGTTGGAAAAACTTTCTTAATTTTTATCTTCTGATGTTTTCTTTCACAATCTGTTACTACAGAAGGTCAGTTTTGAAATCAGCAGTATTGATTTATAGCTTATTTTCATTAAGAGAGCTAATCTGTGTATTGAAGATGTTTGAAATGCAGAGATCAAAAAAGTCTTTGTCGTGGCTATCAGCATAAAACTTTAAATAAAACATACCCAGAAGTTTAAGTTGGAAGTTAAATATTGCCGGTATGTGCTATTCTGAAAAAAATAAAGTTTGTATTGTATAAGAAAAATAGGTGTACAAGATGATAATGTTAGTGGATGTGTCCTCACAGACAAAAGCCTTGGTGTAGATGAACTATTCCTATTCCTAGTAGCTTGTAACTGTAAATAGGATTTATCTGAGAAGTCTTTCTGTGAGTGTGCCTTTCACATATACTGAAGTACCTGTATTTTACACAGAATTTTAAAAATCTTGGGATGGTTTGGTCTCTTATCCCAGAATGGTGTCAACCAGTAGAACATTACAAGAGGAAATTCTCCCGAGTATTCCACTGCAAACTACTTTCGGGAGCTGTAGTGGTAGCTTTTTAACCTCAGTATTTCATAGGTCAGGTAAGGTGAGTCTCTTTAAAGAGTCATTAAAGTGAGAATGTTTTGAAAAGCTCCCAAACAGGAAACCCTGTTGTTCAAGGATCTGTTTGAAGTTTTAGTAGCTAAAATTAGACTTTTTGTTCCCATACATTTAAGAAATAACTCCTGCTTATATTGTTACTAAATGGTACCCAGGCTTTAATTACCTGCAGCGTATTGATATGATTGGAGTTCACTTTTCTGGGGTTCATGAAGTCATAAATAGGGATGTTATAACTGTGAGCTTGGAGGGAAGGGACCTCAAAGTGCCTCACCATTCAGTAATCTTGTAGTTTAATGCTAATAATTTCCTCTGGTTTTACTTTTTGTCGTAGTTCTGTCTTTCTCCTACAAGAGTTCACTCCAGTGCTGTCAGAAGGTCACGGAACAGGGCACTACCTGTGCTGCCCTGGGGCTGTTGATGTCCTCAGCTGTTGTAGGAGAAACACTAGACCTGGAACCCAGTTTGTTACTGGTAAGAAGTAATTGTTTTGGATTTTATTTATTTATTTAATATTACGGTTCATATGTTTTCTCTAACAAAATCAGTAAATATCTCTCCACTGCTTTTTACTTTTAAGAACACTATAGCAAAATATGCATCTCTGGTCTTTTTTTTTTTTTTTTTCCCCTAATATTTTTAACTTTACAGTTTCTAAGTTTCTAATTTCCCTCCATCCAAAATATGGAGGTTAACAGTTTTCATTTAGATCTCATTTTCAGTCCTGGTTTTCTCTTTAAATTCTTCATGCACTGTCAGAGCCAATGAAGGTTAATAAATGGATTTTTCTTCGATTCCTGCAGAAGTCCTGTGTTTTGGTTGCATTTTTCTGGTGCCAGCTACTGCACAGGTTGGCCCTGTAACTTCAGGTGGATGGTTTGACAGCTCAAAGGCCACAGCCAAGTCTCTGGTTTAGAGTTTTGGAGTAGAGGGTGAAATGTTTAATGATGGCTCCCTGTTATTTTAAGCTGTGCTATTGGAGTTAGATTTTGCTTGTGGTTCGTGTTTGGACTGTGCTTTAATGAAATACTAGAAGTGTGTAGTGTTCTGTCCTGCTGTCTGAACTTTACTTTTGGGCTTTCTGGATTATATCTATGCAGAGATTCTAAGCAGAGATGTTGTTTTAATGCTCTGGATGATGGGGCAGTGTTGGCTTGAAGTTGGAAAAATTTTAGTGAATCCTCATCAGACTGATGTTAATTAAATAATACATGTACACTGACAGTTGAGTGAGCCGGTTCAAATTTCATAATAAAAATTGAATTACTATTTTCCTTTAAGTTTACTGAAAATCATTTGCTTTCCAAATTCTTGCCTTTTCTGTACCTCTCTAGTATTTCTCAAACTGAATGATGAAACTTTTTTTTTCTTTTTTGTTTCCTGTGATTCCTAACCCATAGGGCTGAACGTGCACTGTTGGGCTGTAATTAAACGTTCTCATCCCCGGTCATTGGGGAAAAGTGGTAACTCTTGTTTGCATGAAACCCTGAGCTGTGAGTAACCTCTCTGGCCCAAGGGTCTGCTTTAGTCTGTTTACAAACATCTGCCTGTTTCTCTTTGAATTCAGAGTTGTGGTCGGAATGACCAACTTAAACAACGGGTGATGGGTTTCAGGAATCGGAATAGGGCAGGAGAGTTGGTTTTTTGGCAGCTGTTCGTTTTCATAAGATGTTACTTACATCTATTTTGAACAAAGCTGAACATATGAGTATAATCTGGGGTTATCTAGTGTCAAGAAATTAAAACTCCTCTAGAATTGTGTGCTTCCTCGAACGCACTTGCGAGAAAACTCTGCACTTGTGGAGATTTGTGCTTGTAAAGCTCACGAGCAGAGTCTTTGCAGGCAGTGACCATCCATTAATACCCTGAGTCTTCTTTTCCTCTCATTTACCAGAATAAGTGGTAGGTACTGTCCTTTGCAGTTGCTAAGGTTACCTTGAGGGGTTTTGTTCCCATTCTTTTCAGCACGGGGCACACGGAGAGGAGGAATCCCGTGTGTTTCTGTTGTCTTTAATTGGATAAAAGTGAAACTTCCATACACACTGTGTCTTGTTGTGCAAGGAAGCATTTCAAGCCCAATCTCACCTTACAGAGCTCCTTTGCAGAGGAATTTAAAAAATGTTGGAATGTCTTGGGAGTGGATACAGGGACAGGACGCAGGGGAGGCAGAGAAGTGGGGTGTGTTTGTTGGTTTTTTGCATAATAAACCATTGGAGTGAATTTGAGTTCTTCCTTAATCTGTTTTTACTTTTCTCTGAAGGGAGAGGGGGGAAGAAACAACACATTTTTGGTTAAATTCCAGTTGGCATGTTTTCTCCAGGGAGCAGTGTGGTGGAGGAGTGCACTAGTGAGTATTTTGGTACTCCGTGACTTGGGTCCTTGGTATTAAGGGTAGAAACACATTTAGAAAATTGTAATGGACAAACTGTCATGTAGTTTAAATCTTCAGGTCACTTATATTCTGAGAGAGGAAAAAGTAAACAAACAAACAAATCCTAACAGCAGCAAACCCCTCCCCAAACTCTCCAGGCCTCTCTTTTTTTTTTTTCCCCTGTTTTCTTTCTGAGTGAAGGAAGTTTATTTTTGGCCCCACTGTTGCCCAGGGGACTGCTCTGTAGAGGACTTTGTGTGTACTTCACTTCTTGACTGTGACTTTTTGTCAAAATTCAAGTAATACACTGAGAGATAGATGCAACAAATTTGTACCCCTTAATTTTACTGGTGTTAAGATTTTGGTCAGGAGACTTATTCTGATTATGCTGAGAGGTATGGCCTTGTAAGTATTGCTGGTTACTTTTCTTAAAACCTTTCTATTGGGAAGTGAGGTTTGTGTCTATTTAAACTCTTAACTATGTCATCAGGTGATACTTTCATGTTTAAGTAACTGTACTGATAGTGCAAAATAAGGCACTTTCATAGGTGCTCTATTTGTAGAACTAGATTCATTCTAGCTAGGGTTAAAGATTATGTAAATTATTAATGGTTTATTTAAGACCAGCTTTTTTGATGTGAAAAATAAAAGGTAGACCTGTATCCTGACAGAAATTTAATGGCAGTGGCTATTAAATCTGTTCACACTGTGTTCTTTTTGCTGTTACATGCAAGGGTTTGTTTAGGGACAATTTTTTTTGTTGTCGTTTTTGGGAAAGCAATAGACTTGAATTACTGTACTGTCTATGCATTGGCTTATGAAGAAAGCCTGATATGCTACAATTTATTTTGTGGAGAACCTTCAGATGAGCTTTCATGGTTCGTTGGCTTCCTGGAGAGCTGTGTTGTGGCCATGTGCTGCCATGGCAGGACCAGCCCTAAAGAACTGTAGTAGGTGCTCAATTTAGAAACCCTTCAGTGTAGTAAAAAGACCTGAGATAAAACAAAAAATACATCATTGGTCTTTGAGGTCTGTTTCTAAGAAAACTCCACAGCTTATTCCTTCTTAGCCGTGCTTCCACTAGAAATTTGAATGGTACAGCTTTTCTGAAGAAATCTTTCCACAACATTTTTTAAGTGGAGATAAATATCATTACCAGAAAAAGAGGGAAAAAAAACCCTAAACCAGCAACAAGCCACAAAACAGCATGTAAAATTGGAACACAAGAGCATGGGGTTTTAAAGCTTCCTGAATTTTTAACTACTAGCAAATTGCCTTAAATTTAACTTGGATTAATTCCCTAGTGATCCTTGACATTAAATGGATGTTCTGGTTTGACATGGGTGGACAGAAAACTAATTAATTCCTCTGAATTTAAGGCATATTTAATTTTCTCCCCCAAAGACCTCTCATTTAAAAGGTACAATGCCTGTGACAGATGCTGAATGTGGAGTGATGTGTGTAAGGTGGCAGACCTTCCATCAGGGGAAAATCAAGACATCTACAAGAATAATCCCTGACTTGGAAAATGTTAAATTTTATTGATTACACTGAACATGGGAGAATCCACATCATCACTTGCTTACTTGAAAGTGTTGTGACGTGCCCACCTCACTGGCCAGTAGGGAATCTTGAATAGATTTGTTTGTGTCTGGTAAAATTTCCCTGATATCTTTTCTCTGACTTTATCTCCTGCTTCCTAAAGAGATGAGCAAGTGCTTCATCCATAAGTAGCACTAAATTAGTCAGTCCCTGAACTTCAAGCTGGTCCAGTCTAAACCAAAGGTAGCAAGAAACAAATATTTTAAAATCTGTGTTTCTGCCATAGGCAGCTTTAAAAAAGGACAAGATGTATCTGAAGTGGACTGTTATCAGTGAGATGGGAACCCAACCCACTGCACTAAGCTCAGTAAATGTATGAAATAGCAAAGAAATAAAATCTCAAGGAATTTATATAATTTCCAGGTGAAGAACATTGAAGAAGAAAAGCTCTTGTTGCATAAATTCCCAAGAACAGATGGTGATGTTGACAAATACTCCTGACGCTATTCTGTATGAAATTGAGGAAGAGAAAATTATCCTTGCAGGAGATTTCCCTCTTCCCCCCCCCCCCCAGTTCCAGGGAGGTTTTTTTTGGAATATGGATTTTGGTATCCATGAAGGTACAGTAAAAGGAAATTCCATATCCAAAATATTCTGATGGCTTCCTGATTGTATCCTGTGTGAGGTTTTCTTGCATCTCCCTCTGAATCGTGTTGATATGCCAGCTGTTGGAGACAGGACTGATGATGGACAACTCACTTTATCCTATGTGGCAATTCATATTTCCTGAGGGGACAAAGCTGACTCTTCAACTCCTAAAAGTAGATGCAGTAGTGGTTTCTGGAATAAAGACAAAACTGAGCTGTCATTCTGCCTTACGAGGCAGTTCTCTCCAACACAGAGATGTTGGGAAGCTGTGGCAGCCACCTCCAGAGCCTGGGTTAGAGAACTGCTGTGCTGGCTGGTGCCATCACAACCTTTTCAGGTCAAACACCTGAAAAATCCGTGGGTTTTTTTTCCCCCCATGCTCCCTGACCCTGATTCTTTGGTTTTCATTGATTTATTTCAATTATTTGAGATGGAGATGGTGTCTGTGTGAGGATTTGGTTTGAGGTCTCCAGGCAGATTTCTGTGGTAAATAGGTGTTGCTCAGTGTACAGCTGTAATGTTATTGACCTCTTCCAGTTCAAATAAAAAAAAAATAAAAATTGGTTTCTCTGTGCATTCTATGCTTAATTCTGCAGAAAAGCTGCACTGTTTTGAATTTGGTGAACACCAGTTCAGGCTGTTTGTGTTGCAGGAAGATGGTCCTTCCTCTCTCGAGGGAAGCAAATGCTTCTGAGTGATCAGGGACCAGCTGGTCATGCAAATCAGCATTTCCAAGGCTGCAGAGAGGCAGCTCCATCCTTGCAGAACTGGGGGAGGCTTGGAGCAGTCTTGCATAACTTGAACTTTTGAGTCATCAGGTGACTCTCTCGAAGGTCCCATCTCACGTTTGTTCTGTGGGCTGGGAGGTGCTTTTCTGGCCAACAGTGTTGACTAAACTGCAGCTGTTTTGCTCCTGGTGATGATAATCATAGGACAGGCTAGGAGAAGGGGGCAGGAGGCTTATGGGTCTGTATTCCACAGTACAGGAAACACACTTGCATGTGTCAGGATACTTCCTTAATCACGGCTGTCCTAGAATTGTGAGCCAATTCGAGCAGATGGGACTGAATTTGTGTGTGAACTCGATGGATGTTAGAAACGTGCTCCAGGCTCTCATCAGCCTCCTTAATGCCAGTGTTTATATTGAACCGTGTCTGCTTCAAGACTCTTAAGACCTCAGAGATTTCAGTTTTATAAGTAACAACCAGTAGCCTAAATCCAGGCTTCTGGATGTGTGTGCCTGCCCATAATAACATTTGGAACTGGGTTCGATTTTACAGTTGTGTGTTGACATGTGGACCCTCATATCAATTCTACAGTTGAAACTTCTTATATTGGAACAACTGTAAGTTTTTGAGAGAAAGGAGTAAGATATCTTTCACCTCGGTGCTCTTAATTAGTTGGACCATTAAACCACTGTGACACGATGTATAAATCTAGATAATAATTTCCCAAAAAGTGGTGTAAGATAGAGAAAATGGCAGAATTGAATGCCAAGGAATTTGTAAAGCTGTGGCAGCAAACTATGGAGTTGCAAAGGTAATAACTGGGTAACATTCAGTCTGAAAATCCTAAGACTGCTTATTACTGTCAATATATACACATTTAGGACCTTTTTTCCTGTTTTGGCGTGTAAGAGGATAATTTGGAGCATAATTTACAAGATACATTGCTGCTGGCACTAATACCTTTTTCTTTTTTTGGATAATACTGCCAAATTTTATGAAAGGTGATCAAAGACCCTGTGAATTTTTCTCGGCTTTGTTATGTTGGTCCTTTCTTTAGGGGATCATGAGAATTTCTCTCCCCGATATCTCAGGGTGGCTGTGGGGTAAACTTGGAGATGTAAAGCCAAGGAAATAGCATGTTTGTTGCAAAGTAAAAAATCTTGTGCCTGTAAGTAGTTAAGCTTCAAATAACATTAATTTCATAGTTGTGATGTATTTCCAGTTTAGTTTGGGTGGAGACTTAAAATTTAGTGATCTGTGGTCTTGCATTTGCCTGACTTTTAAACCATATTTATAGCCCCTCCACAGCAATATAAACAGGGGAAATGCTGGATTCAATTGACTTTTGCTGTGTGAGGATCTCAGCTATTCAGTGTACTACAAATCATGCTTGTTCCCTTGAGGACATTATGTTAAAGGGTGCTCTTCAATAGTCTTGCCTCCATCAGTGTGATTTCAATTTTGCCAAACTCAGGGTAAAAACTGACAGCTGTTGTACCCTGGTAACTTCAGGTTTCCTTAAGAGTCTGTAGTGATTTAAAGAAATGTTTCTCTGGGATGTTACGAACCACAGGAGGATTGGCTTCAAATCTAGTTCTTCTTAACATAAATTGCTTGAAGTCTGGTCAAAGTGAGCTGCATCATGTCAGTGGATGTGCAGTTGCAGGCAGTAGCTGTATTTGTGACATTCTTTCCCCATGAACCTGTTGCTTAATTTGGCACCGCTCGGGGTTTGTCTCAGCCTTCGGAAAACACATTTGTGAGCTCATCGTGGATTTTTGTAATACTGTCATTTCCTTCCCCGTGCAGGACTTGTGGAAGAGGAAACATAAAGATTTCCAGATGAATAACCGAAAGGAAGATATGGAGATTGCTTCCCACTACCGTCACCTGCTGCGGGAGCTGAACGAGCAGCGGCAGCACGGCATCCTCTGCGACGTCTGCATCATCGTGGAGGGCAAGATCTTCAAGGCTCACAAAAACGTCCTCCTGGGCAGCAGCCGCTACTTCAAGACTCTGTACTGCCAGGTGCAGAAAACCTCTGACCAGGCCACAGTCACCCACCTGGACATTGTCACCGCACAGGGCTTCAAGGCGATCATTGACTTCATGTATTCCGCGCACCTGGCGCTGACCAGCCGCAACGTCATCGAGGTGATGTCGGCTGCCAGCTACCTGCAGATGACAGACATCGTGCAGGCCTGTCACAACTTCATCAAAGCTGCTCTGGACATCAGCATAAAGTCTGATGCCTCGGAGGACCTCGTTGATTATGAGCTGGGAGCCCCTTCCAGCAGCAGCACGGACGCTTTGATTTCGGCGGTGGTGGCTGGCAGGAGCATATCTCCGTGGTTGGCTCGGAGAACCAGCCCGGCAAACTCCTCTGGAGATTCAGCTATTGCCAGCTGCCACGAAGGAGGGAGTAGTTATGGAAAAGAGGATCAAGAACCAAAAACAGACAGCCACGAGGACATTTCGTCCCAGTCTCTCTGGGCCAGTGACATGGGCTATGGGTCTTTACGTATCAAAGAGGAACAGGTTTCGCCGTCGCATTATGGAGGGGGTGAGCTTCATTCTGCCAAGGATAGTGCAATACAGACTGGGTTCTCGGAGCAAGGAGTGGGGGAGGGCTGGCAGCCCACGGGGCGCAGGAAGAACAGGAAAAACAAAGAAACTGTGCGGCACATTACGCAGCAAGTGGAGGACGACAGCAGGGCAAACTCCCCAGTGCTGCCTTTTTCACCTGCCTCGGGATGGCCGTACAGCAGTCGAGACCCAAGTAAGTCATTCTTCCAGTTTTTGGGGCTGAAATTAAAAAGTGTTGAGTTCATTAGATCTGTTTATAGTGTGATCTTATCAGTCCCTGAATTACAAGCCTGACAGTAGAAACTTGCGTTGCCAGCAATTCAGAAGCACCAAGTGCTGCACGGTTCAGTCAGGAGCTGCAGTGTCACGGGCTGGTTCTCCTGTAAAACCAGAAGTTCGGTTTTGTTTTGGGCTTGAAGGGCCTAAATCACCCCCAAAACACCTCTATGATTGTTGGAATTAGTGAGAGGAAAGGTTGGAATTTATTTTAGCAGGTGTGCAAACTGATGTCAGGGTTGAAGAATTTTCCTTCACGCAGTGTGTTGATGATGTAATTACACCACACACAGGTGTAATTTAGTCCTACTGATACCATCTCCAGAACTTCCTGATGTTCAGGTGTCACTTTCTCTGGGATGAGAAAACCACCATAGCTCATTGCTGGTAATGGCAGGGTCAGTGTTTGGTAACTCTTAAGAATAATGTGCTTTTTCTGAGGCGCTACTGTGGCTTCAAATGTATTTTGGTGTGTGACCACTTGTGGTCTGAGATCAGTGGCTGCTTTAAAGTGTGTAGCCAGCGAGAAAAATGTTTTCTTGACTTCCTTTGAATCTTCAGCAGTTATTTTTCTGTCTCATGATAATTGTCCTACTTGATTCATTGATCAGTCGCAATTAATAGATCCTGGAATGCTACTGAACCAGGAGTTTGGTGTTTTTTCCTAAGGACTTTAAGGAAATGTGGGATTAAACTTTCTCAAGTTGACTTGAAGAATGTAGTCCATGCTGTGAGTTAGCCTGTGTTTCATTGCATACCAGAACCCAAGTCAGCCAGGAGAAGGGTGTGTGAGATTGTAGACTTTTATGATGCCAAATTTGGATGAAAAAAGCAATATAAAGAGTACTAAAAGTCTTAAGAGTCTTTATGGGCTGAAAAAAGAGGTTTAGGGTGCTTACATTCTGGAGTTTAAATGTGGTTTTCATTGAACGAGTAACTCTCTGCAAATGTCTTGAGATTTATTATGTTTTATGGTTATCTGCTGCAGCAAGCTTGCATGTAATTATTCTAATTAGCTGATGATAAAATCTAAACAATGTCAGTTAGAAGAAAAATGCAAGATAATTTAAGATAAGAGTGATTTATGATGAATCTTGTTTTTATAATGCATGCATTTTAGGCTTGTTCTGAGTTAAGACTCAGCCTGGATTGCCTGGTGTGCTGTTCTCATGCAGCTGTTTTTCATTTTTCATGGCATCCCATAAAAACAACTCAATCACTTCTGCTGTCTGAGGGGTGTGGGCTTGGGACAGTACCTGGAATGAACCAGACATGGAGTGACTGCAGAAACAGAACTGCAGCTCTCATCCTCCTGGAAACTTGTTACAGATTGGACATCTTTACTGAAAACAGTGCAAAATAGAAGACACTGTATTACTGGAAGCTGAATGAAGCGTAGATTATTTAATTCCTAATTGTTAAGGAATTAAATTGCAGTGGCTGTTTGCAGATGAGAGGAAGATGGCTCAGGGGCTTGACTCAGCGTGGTGCTGAGACAGCACGCCAGCAGGCACATCGAATTATTTGTTCCAAATCTTGTCTTAAATGCAGTTTCCAATAAAAGAGGTGGTTCCAGTGGTGGGAAGGGGGAAGCTGAGTGATGGTGGTTGGGGGAAGATGTCAATATTCCACTAGTGCTGGTAAAACAAAAGTTAAAAACGGATGGCAACACTTCTCTCTGTCCAAAATGAATAGGCACAGGGGCTGCTGCTCCAAGAGCAGTGTGTGCCAAGGGTCCATGAGGAACAAGGAGGATGTGTGGAGACTGAGCTCTTGTGGTTTCCCCATATTGGCCATCTGGAGAGATGAATGGAAGTGAAGTTCTCCTTCCTGCCCTGCTGGAAAGGGAGCTTTATCTGTGCTGTGGGGCCTAAAATTGTGGGATGGGTGCGTGTGAGCTTAACAGCAGGGAATCTCTGCGAGCTCTGTCTGTGTCTTGGGTCAAATTGTCTTGTCTCTGGGGGATTTTTTGGTATAATTTCAAAGGATTTGAGATGCAAATGTTCAGTTTCAGTTAACCTTGGACACCTTGCCAGCAGCCTCTCGTGTGCTTATGTGATGGATGTGTGGTTTGGGTGAAATCAGTTGGTCACTGAGGTGAGACTGCAGCTCTTTCAGTGTGAAGTGAGAGCACTCCTGCTCCCCCAAACCAGCCCTGTCTGGGGCCCTGCAAGCAGCAGTGTTTTGGTCTCACGTGATTATTTCCCACATCCAGCAGGTGGAAGCAACTTTCCTGCAAGCTGCTCCATCTCCCAAGTTGCCAAGCTATGGGGTTCTGCTTAATTTGAGTTTTGGTGCCCCAGGCTCTTCCCTCTCCTGTTAGAATTCAGCAGTAGTGTAGGGGTGTTGCAAACTTGACTCCTAAACATGAAGAATAATTGATTTTCTTGTGTGCAAATGGATAATGACACAGTGCAGACACTTCTAACAAATAATTGGAATGTGTTTAACTTTCAGTTTGAAGTTGTCTTTGATTTAGTCTTGTCAGGTTTCATTCTTTAAAACACACTTCATAGTCTAGGGCTCTTTTTCACCTCATTTATTTAGAAGTGTCCCATTGTTCACAGCTAAGATGAAAAGCTACTCATTTGCTGAGGAAATGGGTGTTGAATGTTCTTTCATAAGTAACTAAGAGGAAAGAAAGTTACCTAGAACTCTTTGTTCTTTGAGGCTCCTTCACTTTTCTGATCTAATCGGGTATTTTAAGATGCTGGTTGCTAAGGCTGAAAGCCCTCGTTGTGGGATAATTTGGGTACCGTTTGTGAATGCCTCTGTGCTGGAGGACTAACACAGACCTTCTGACAATGCAAAAGTTGATTCAGGATGATCCAGCTTCAAAGTTGAGTCTTCCCAAAATTGAGCAAGGTACTCATTTGGTCTTGGTTGCAAACAGCATTGCATTTCAGCAACATTTTGGAAGGGGAATCTTGCAAGTAACCACTGCATCACCCTTTGATTATTTGGGGCAGTATACTTCACAGACTGAAAATGCTGCTCCTGCTCCTGTATTACACAGGATGACTTCATTCCAGTTGTATTACAAAGAAGCACATTGCAGTCATTGAAACTGCTTTTCAAACAACTCACAGCTCATTCACTCTCAGCAGTGGTGCTTCTTTCAGTGGGAAACACGTTCTTATCAATGCAGGCAGGTGTACTAAAGTGTCTGAGATATTTAAGCAGACTGTATTTAATTACTAATCAATGAGGTCTGAAAAAGACAAAGATTTTTTTTAAATTGAAAGGGTAAAAAAATTCCTTGTGAATCAGTTGATTCTTTCCCAGACGCTGGTGAGTGGGGTGCTGCTGAGAGCCTTTGAATTTTACAACATTACAGATTAAAATAAAAAGGAGTGTCTGGAGTAATCGTATTAATGGTAATCAAACATCATGGAAATAGCAAGAGATTGTTCATATCTGCCATGAAGAGTCTTCTTCATCCAAGAAAGGATGATCAAATAGGATTTGCAAAAGAATGCAAACGAAGTTGAGGTGCTGAATTGAGACTGTGACTCAGCTCACAGTTTCCCAGGGTGGTGTCAGTCAAGCACAAAGCTTGATGAGGACCATCTTTTCATGCTAATTTCAGTTTATTAGTTTGGATTGTCTGTTTAGAATCAAACACATAGGATTTTCTCTTTCTTATCCTGTTTGGGTTGTTCAGGATGTCAACCTGTCATTCCTTGTATGAAACATTCATATATATGTTTTCCTCACCAAGCCACATAGCAAAATGTTGCTGGATTTGCTTCTTCATATAATGGAAAACTCTGTCATTTGGAGGGTGTCTTTTGAAGAATTTATTGATGGCTTTATTAATGTGTTAGTTCAAGCATAGTAATTATGATTCAGGAATTTTATTTCTGAGGAAATACTCCCACGCATCTTCTGATTGTTTGCACCCAAAAGCTGCAAGTGGATTTCTGTGTGCCAATTGACTGTGAAATGAAGCTAATTATTTTAAAACCAGAAAAGTCCTTTTTAAAGACTCTGCACTTTGGGAACTCTTTGCCTTCCTTTGGTTACATGCAGTGGAATTTCTGTATTCTGTAAGAAGAGCTTCAGGACTTGATTAAGCCCGGAGTAGTGACCTCCGTGAGAAGGACAGGCAGGACTGCACTGTATCCTCCTGACTTTGCAGAGTTCACAGTCCCTTTAACATTTTCCCTCTCAAAATCTTTAATTATGTACAAGCTTCCTCCCTCCTGGTGAGGAGACGCTGGAGTTCCTCATTTTCCAGAGACACACATGTGATGGCAGTGCCTGCTGCAGGGAGCTGTGCTGGCAGCTCCCCGGGAAGCCTGGAGGCAGCTGCTGTCGTCAGCCTTTCCCCATCCCTTTTCCTGTCTTGGTTTCTAGAGAGCAAATTATGATTACAGGAGCTGTTGGTGAGCACAGATGCTTAACAGTTGGATCATATAGTGAGCTTACATTGCAGAAGGCTTCAGAGGAAGGCAAGAAAGCCCATTCTAGATGAACTCTCAACTGTTTTGTGCAGGTGAGGTCTCTGGACCTGTCTGAGTGCAGGCAGGTGAATGATTTTATTCTTGAAAAAGTCTTTTTCTCATCAAGGTACCAAGGCTTCCTGTAACTCTGTCCCTCTGTCAATGCAGATCTTTCCTTGATTCATATTTTCAAATTATTATTAATAATTCCATTGAAAATTCCATTGTTTCTGTTGTGATATTTGGCAGACATATCAGTCCAAGTAGAAGAATACAGATTTTGCAAAATGAGAAAAGGGGGGGGGGAAATGAGTGTGGTGTTTGTACTCAGGATCCAGGTGTTTGAGGAACTCTTAAAGATTTTTGTTGTGTTTTATGAGACAAAAACAAATGTACTGAAGGAGGTGTTAAGGAAACTCTTGGAAGCATGTGGTGTTGAAATGATCCATGCAGTGTGGGAGCCAGAAAACTC